GAGAGGGAGGGAGGAAGGGAGAGAGAGAGACAGAAAGAGGGAGACAGAGGGAAAGAGAGAGAGAGCGAGAAAGAGAGAGAGAGAGAGAGAGAGAGAGAGAGAGAGAGAGAGAGAGAGAGAGCTCTCCTGGATCGTTCGACTGCTTTACAAAACTTACCATTCGCCCACCACAACAAGACAAACACCACAAGCACTTCCATAGCGGCTCACAGCAGCGACCAACCCTGATGTGAATCTACCATAGACGAACGCAGGACAAGAGGAAGGCACCGTATTAGTAAGCACTGCCAGGAACAACGGAATGTTGTTTACCTAATGGTGCAAAATGAAGGTTTTCTTTATGAGGCTTCTACGGTCGGATCTTAATTTTGATCAAAGTGCGAATCGCAAAAGCGCCAAGATCAAAGATAGGGCCCCTTTGAACCCAACATGAGCAACCGAACACTCGCTGCGGGCTGTTAGAGCTGGTCAGCTGAGACAATATTTGCACGTACCGCCGATTGGTGTATTCAAACATGACGTTAAGTAACAGATTACGATTAAATATACACACATGTGTTATTGGATTACCGTGCTCATATAGCATATTTCCGTCAACAAAAAAATGTAGCCTTCTGCTAATAAAACACATTGACGTTTGACAACTGTTATGACCGGAGCAGCCTCGCAACTGTCTTTTTTCATCGTTTTTTTCTGACACCACCCCCATCCCCCATATTTCTCTCTATCTTTTCTTTGACTTATATTCTTCTTCTAGCGTTACCTCCTCCCTCCCCTTCTACCCTTTTGGTGCTTTTCCTCTTCTTCTAACCTCTGTATTGTTCTCAGCCATTATTAATGTTTTTCTTTTCCAGTTATCTAACCCATATAATTGAGATCCCTTATGCATTTAGCTGTTGTCGTCGATGTTGCTTTTGTTGTTGTTGTCGTTGTTGTTGTTGTTGTTGTTGTTGTTGATGTATTTTCGTCTTTGCCGTTTTTTCTTATTACGCTGCCGCTGTCGAGACCTCATGACTTTACGTTTGCCCCCCCCCCCCTCCCCCGCTTTAACACTGAACCCAAATCTGACATCTTTTTGTTCCGTTCCCAGAGTGTCACAGAGTGTCAACCAATTTAAGTGTTTCATAAACTCTACATCAATAATCAAAATTATGTTTCCTACCTCTGTCTCAAACTTCATCTGAGCAGTCCTTGGACGCTGACGGAAATACTTGAGGGCTGAGGATAGAATAACAGAAAAACATTAGCTCTGCTGTTACAATTATTGTTGCTGTTATTGTGTGCGTGAATGTATGTGAGTGTTTGTGTGTGTGTGTGTGTGTGTGTGTGTGTGTGTGTGTGTGTGTGTGTGTGTATGTGTGTGTGTGTGTGTGTGTGTGAGAGACAGAGATAGAGAGAAAGAGAGAGAGAGAGAGAGAGAGAGAGAGAGAGAGAAAGAGAGAGAGAGAAAGAGAGAGAGAGAGAAAGAGAGAGCGAGAACGAGAGAGCAAAAGAGAGAGAAAGAGAGAAAGAGAGAGAGAGAGAGAGAGAGAGAACGAGAGAGCAAGAGAGAGAGAGAATGGTTTAGCCACTTCCCTTCAAGGCCCGGGAATAGTGTTATGGAGCAGGTGTAAGAGTAAACGTGCATTCCCGCGTTCCATAAATCTCAGTGTATAAGAAATAAAACTCATTGAAGGCGACTTTTTTTTAAGTAAGGGGTTTGGTCACGTTGTTGTCCCCCTCTCAATCGCCAACACTATCGACCCTACAATGTATGTGAGGTAAGCGATAATGAGCTGATCTCGTGGAGACTTATGAGTTTACAAAACACCGCTCTCCTCTTCACACTCTTAAAATCTTTTTTTTTAAAATTTCTCTCAGCCACTCCAACTTGGTGGATTGGAGAAAATAAACTAATTAGCTACCTTTAGAGGTTAAAAAACCCCCAAAAACATAGATATGCAGAAATAAGACCAATAAGTGGAAAGATGGCCGCAGATGCAAGAAGGGAAGGGGTGAGGGAAGGGGATGGGGAAGTCGGTTGGGGAGGGGGGAGAAGGGTATGGGAGGGATGATGGGTTGGATAGGGTGTGAAGGGTTTACTGTTCCAACCCGAGCCAGAGTCACCGCCTCTTCTATCATTGTTGCTGTCATTGTCATGTTACAGTGTGACAAGAGCTAAATTTCAACTGGAAGAGGATATGATAATAGTACCACCAAAGAGAAGAGGGGGGGAACAGGAAATACGCGAGTGCCGTACAACTGCCAGAACCATTAATTATTAATGCAAAAAAGGACGGGAAACAAAGGCCTCTTTGTGACGCAGCATGGGCACATTCGGTGAAACACCATGGGCACGTGAAAGTGCCTCAGGCTAATTCATTTGGTACGTTAGGCATTAACCATTGCATTACGCAAATCTCACTACAATAGAAATTACGGCATGGGATGTACTAGAAAACAAAGATAAAAAAAGAGTAAATATATTTTTATAACACGGCGCGGAGCAGACATCAGAACATACAAGGCAAAAATGCAGTTATCAAAAGCAAAATTTTAAGTACATGTAAAACGCTCGAGCTCTGTCAATAAATCGTTACCCCAGAATTACAAAGTTCTGTCTGCTCAGTGCCCATTTGCTCAGTACTCAGTTTTGAGTAATTTGACGAAACAATTTTTTTATTTTCACAGCCTGTCAAGCTTTTTTGAATGCATATCTTTGAGTATCTTGATAACGACTGATAATAATCCTAGATTTTGATGGAGCAGACAGAACGTTAAATGGTTTCTGATCTCATGGTCTTAGTAACTTAAACTGTCAGACAGACTTTGTAATTCTGAGGTAGTGAAATGTGTGTACTTGCTCCTTTAGGAAAGAAATAGAGAACAGCCTTCAGCATCAAAAGGCACTCCTGTCTACTCTCCATTTTAGGCTCTCTGTTAGCTCACTTGGTATCATGCTGGACTACAGAGGGGATGGTCCAGGTTCGAATCTCCTGGTTCTTGAACTCCGGTCGTTTTGTAGAGATTTCAAGGCTTGAGTCTCAAACCTTTTGGCTCGGTCCTATCGGAGAGGTACGTTACATTTGGAGGTCCCGTCTCTTAAATAATTAATAATGTTGACAGGTGCGTTTAACCCATACATTTACTAACTTACTCACCATTTTGCATTTCAGGTTGATCGGAAAAGCTTTGCTCCAGAGAGGTCATCGGTCTGGCTTTGGCCTCATTCACTTCCGCCTCCGTGAGTAAACCTCCAGACTGAACAAGAATAACAGCGTTGACAATAAGTTCTGAGTGAGATACCAATTGGCCTAAACTGACACAAAAACACGTTCATAACAAACTAACAGAGCAGAAGAAATAGAGACGCTGCAGATTTGAGAATAAACGAACCCACAAACACTAACGATCATCCACTCACAAGCACACAGGCACAAGAACACACACATACGTACAGAGCATAACTATATATGAAAGCGCGCACAC